AAGGGAAAGAGAACCCAAGAGCGGAAATGCTCCAAGGGAATATTCAAGAAGGGAAAATGTATAGAAAATTGGGAAGATTTTCAGGACAGCGAAGGAAAACCTGTAAAGGAAACAATGATATAATTTTTGAATATATATTTTCCAGCCTATAATTCTTATTCCTTCATATTCCATGACTTCTCTTATCCTTCTACCTTCCTGGCAAGAGTATCCCTACTGTCTCCTACTGTCTGCCCATCTTAGATTCCCCAACTTGTTTCTGTTTCTGTTTCGACCCCCAATCATCTGTTGGCTGGGCGCAACCTTGAAGGTGTCAAAATAACATACATATTTTGTGCGTTGGCTGGGCGGCCCCCCTTCTGAGTAGCCTCTGGTGCTCGAGGAGGCGTGGCACTTGTTAGGCACAAAATGAAATTAAAACGCGCATAAATTATAGCCAACAGAAAACGTTGACGACGATGGTGATGGTGATGATGATATTGTCGGTGTGGGGCATAGAACAGTGGCAGACCTTGTTGAATATATTAAGACATTTTCAACATTTCATTTCGTTTCGTTTGGTTTTCTGTTTTCCGTTCATTTGTGTCTCTATATATCTGCCTCACTTTTATTTGTATTTCTCTTGCTGTTGCTGGTGGAGCTGCCTCAAAAAGTTTTGTTCATTATCAAGTACCTGGCAATCGAAGAGCTCCGAAGGCATGTTGGATTGCTGCTAAAGGAGGTAGTATTTGGGAACAATCTGTCGAAGTAGCGAGATGTTTGAACACCTGGCTCTCGTCTGCTGTAAAGGGAAGAAAATTGAGAAAAAGATTCCCTCGATTAAGGCTATATATTTCATTCATTGAACTATCTTTCATGTTTTAATGGGAAAAAAGCCAACAAAAACATTGGTTTTCTATCTAAAAGAACATCTGGATGTCACGGATTATTTGTAAGATTAATATTTAATAGATTTCTACATTTAATAGAATTTTTCTTAAAATATTAACATCTTATAAATCAAAATTTTTCGCCATTAGGTAATTAATTAATTAATAACTATTAATTATTACAGAAAAAAGTCTATGTCTTTTGGTGTATAAATTCCTAAAAAATCAAGGAAGTAAAATCTTTGCTGAAATATGGTAAAATCCTTTCTTTGAGCCTCACTTTGAGTAGTCCCCAAAAAAATCTGGGTATCTTATGGTCTTATCTCCTTTGGCCAATCTATGACTTTTGGTCTATAAATTCCCCCAAAAAAAAAGCAAGAAGAATCTTTGTTGGAACATTATAAAAGCCTTTCTTTTGGCCTCACTTTGAGTAGTCCCCAAAAAGGGTATCTTATGGTCTTATCTCCTATGGCCCATAGCTTTCTTCCTTCCTTTTTTTGTATAGCATACTTTTTGGGGCCGTGACACTGCTGCATAATTGCTCAATAGTGCGCCTCCCCCTACGCCGCGCTCGGGGGGGCGCTGGAGGCGTCGGAGGTGGCATTTTGTTTAAGCAATTAAGTGCGAATTGGCGTGGGGGCGTGCGAGTAGGTGGTACAACTGGGCATGCCCCAGCGCTGATTTATGTGGCAGCCGCCCCGCACTCACGCACTCGTTCCCCCCTCACTCAACACATTTTCCACCCCCCCAACTGTCTGTCTGTCCGTCTCTCTGTCGGTGTGTGCTCATGTCATTTCACATTTGATTAACTGAAGTTGCAGTTGTTGCAACTTGCAATTGTTGCTGCTGCTGTTGCATGCAGCTGCAGCCAAAAGTATTTCGCTACAATTTTAATTTCATCCGCACCTCAGGATCCTACAAACCCTGCCCCGCACCCTGCCGCTTAATTTGCCTGTGTGTGTGTGTGTGTGTGTGTGCCTGCCACGCGCGTTGCACGCATCTTACGTGCATCACATACCAAGCAGCTGCTGTCAGCGTCCCCCCCCTCCTCCTCCTCCACGCGTAGTATGTGTCTGTAAATTAATTAAAAATGTTTAAACCGCCGCCGGTTTCGGCAGCTGCTTTTCCAGGCAACATTTTTCAGTTACCAAAAAATAAAATAATGCAAAAAAAAATGCACCCCGCCACCAGAAAAGAACAACAAAAGCATGAGGCGGCGGCTAACTTTCGCACAATGGTCTGGAAAATGCTTGGAAAATGCATAGTGGCCTGAACAAAAGCGCTTATTAAGTTTGATATGTAAAAGCGCTAAAATACAGAGTTAATATTGGCAAAAAGGGTGCCGAATATTTGCTCAACGAACCCCTCCTTTAAGGCCACTCCATAAAATCTCTAGACATAAATTTAGTTTGTCCGTCGTGCAGATCCACGTAAATGGCTCTAAAAGTGTTGACATATTTTTATAGATATTTTTTTTACGCCGCAGCGCCCTCCCCCATGGAAAGTTCAAAGTGTTGTCGTATTGCTGCTGGCTTTTTATTTAAATCGAAAAAAGTTTCGCCCTCTCCCGCACACACTTGCCCCTCTCCAGGTAGCGAAAGTATTGAGGGGGGGGCAAGGCAAGTGTGGCAGGGGTTGCAAAGTTCGAGACAAGTCATGAGGAGTCGCTCTTCCACCTCTGGTACTCCACCGAGAAGTTGCTTCATGGCTTGGCATTGCCATGCAAATAAAAGATTGTCTACGGTGAGACTGTCAAGTACAGTGGGCACAGTCCTAAGGTGTACAGAACAAAATGGAGTTTTAGTACAAAATTCAAGGTATATTTATAGCAAAAAAATACAAAAAATGCATTTTTTTATAGTTTCTGTATTTTAGGCGAATTTTTCAAAATTTGCATTAAATTTCTACATTTTTCAAACAAAAAAATTACATATATTTCATGAAAAAATGGTATTCACACCGAAAAATAATACTATTTTTTGGAAAAAATACCAGAAATTAATAGAGAAATCCATAAATTTATCTTAATCGAGCATTTTCTATCGCTAACAAAACTCTGATGTGAATTTAAATGATTAAAGACGCTTAAATGATTGCCAAAATGCCATTCGCACGCAAACGTTGACACATTCCTTCCGATATGAATGGATTTATATGACTTAAGATTTCAGAAAAGTAGCCTGGAATGGTAATCGATGAGAAAATCTTTAGCCTGGAGGCAGGAAATCAACTGTTGCTTTTTCACAGATGGAAATCAGCCGAAAAGCCTGCAGTCTGAAGACTTTTTTGAAGCTATTTTCCATCGCGAATAAAGCAGTCTACCCTTCATAGAAAAACGAGCAGGCACAGATTAAAACTAATACAAATAATTGAATAAGAAATCGAGGAAATCAGTTGATCTGTTCTCCTCATTGAATACCCACTGTGGACATCACTCTTCCAAAAAACATCCATGCTGAATGCTTTTATGACAACTCAATTTCGAAATACACTTTAGTTGGCCTCAGCCTCAGCCTCAGCCTCAACCATGACTACAGCCAGAGTCAGAGTCAGAGTCAGAGTCGAAGAGTTCCCCCCCCTGTCCTCTGCTGCCTCTCTGATCTACAAGCAAAGTTGTTGGGGGACACACAAAACGCATAAATTTATGTCAAACATTTTGTGAGGCGTTCGTTCGTTGTCTGCCCCTTCTTGCCACCCTTCTGTGAGCGACACAAACAAATTTATTTGGACTTTTTAACAACTTTTGTGTACGACGACTATCTCCCTCTCTGTGTAAGGTGTTGGCACAACCTTTGGGTGCCCCTCTCAGCCACCTCACCTCTCCTCTCGTCTCCCACAGAGCTTGCCACATACAGTTTGCAAATATTTTTTATGTGCCACATGACGCAGAGGGGGGCGGGGTTCGTCAAGCTGGAAGGCAAGCCATAAACTACTCAGAAAAAGGCAAAAGGGGGAGTGAGTGCTTGCCACTTTTCCTGATTGCACGACATTTTTCTCATGCGCCTAAATATGTAGATAGTGGCATGCCCCATGTGCCCCATGTAACTCCTCTGAAATATCATAATTTTTTGGGGTGCAGAGCCCTGACCCAAACATTCTGTCTGCAGTAGTCAGGGCCAACTGTTGATTCTGGCCAGCCAAAAAGAGGGATAGGATGCACTTTCAGCAGGCAAAAAGTGCACTCCGCCAACATGTTGCAAGAGGAGAGAGAGAGAGCGAGAGCGCGCGAGAGAGCGGAATGAAATGGAATTGGAACAGTGCCTGCACTCTCTCTCGGAGAGTTGGCCAGGATTGGAGCAAAAATGTTGGCCAAGACCGAGGCACCAAGCGAACGGCTTTCGGCCCTTCGTGAGTGTTTATGGCCATAAACAACAGAAGCCGTTCCACCAGGCATTCGTCAGATGACTGACCCCAAAAAAACAAAAAGCACATCATTAGAGTAAATAACGAATTTTTTCAAAATATAATCCGATTTTTTTTTAAAATAAACTATTTACAAAATTAGTTTAATTTTATTTAAACGTAAATTAAGAATTTTTTTGAAAAATGTATTTTTTTAAATATTAATTTGAAATATAATTGAATTTAATTTAAATGATTTAAATAAAAAACTTTTTAAAAATAAAATCTAATTTACTTTTAAAAATATACAATCTAAATTTTAAATTGTAAATGTAGTTTTAATTTAATTTAAATGTAAATAAAGAACTTTTTAATAATAAAATCAAATTTATTTTTAAAAACATATGATTTTAAATATTTATTTGAAATGTAATTAAATTTAATTAAAATGCTTTAAATAAAAATAATTTTTTAAATAAAATCAAATATATTTTTGAAAATATATGAAATTTAAAATATATTCATTAGGTCTTTACGATGCCACTGTCAAAAAATCAGACATTTCCAAGGGAATATAATAAATAAAATATAATTTTATATATATGTATTTATTGAGGCAGAAAGTCCATGGCTGTTTTATAGTTTTTAGATTTTATTTCCAATTCAAACGCGTTACGCCTCTTCGTCTTAGCGATTCAGCAAAACGTGACCCCATGAACCAGTTCTACAAATGTATTTTATTAATTATTAATTGATTAATTTATTGTAATTCAAATATTTTGACATTTGTTTACTGAGAATTTAGCTGACTTTTTTTCAAATCATATACCGAAAAACCGAACTTAGAAATGCTTCGGTTGATTGAATCTGTTTCTAATATTTATTGTATGAATGTGTGTGTGCCGGGGACCGGAAATTGTGATTAGACTTCTAGTGAAGATGGCACCGGCAATGATTCGCCGCAGGCGATCAATCAAGATCTTCGGTGCTGACGCCAGTGTAGATGGACTCCTCCTTGGCATCGTCAGCAGCAGCTGGGGCAGCGGCTGTAGCAGCAGTTATAGTATCAGCTGAGGCAGCGGCTGAAGCATCAGCTGTAGCAGCAGTTGTGGCAGCGGTAGCGACTGTAGCAGCAGCTATAGCATCAGCTGATGCAGCGGCAGCGGCTGTAGCAGCAGCTATAGCATCAGCTGAGGCAGCGGCTGAAGCATCAGCTGTAGCATCAGCTGAGGCAGCGGCTGTAGCTTCAGCTGTATCAGCAGTTGTGGCAGCGTCTGTAGCATCAGCTGCAGCAGCATTTGTAGCAGCAGCGTCTTTCCCAGCGGCCCCGCCTGCATCTTTTTGGAGCCATAGACCCGAGGCCAAGCAACGTTGATGATGATGATGGGCCACATCCGATGGCATTGCGTCGAAGAGCTTTATCAACAGCTCTATGTCGCCAGTCCTGAAGCCGGCCTGCACCTCTTCGGGCAGGGATTCATAGACCTCAAATGGGTCCAGCCCGCCGGGACCCAAGCGGGTCTGGTGCACATCTTGCACCTTCGCGTTGGCCTCCTGAATCTTTTCCTGTGCTACATCTTGGACGCGTTCCTTGAACTCCTTGACATCGGTCTCGAAGTGATGGAGGTACTCGGGCAAGCATAGCTGGGTCCTTGAAAAGAACGAGCTGACACAGGCCCGCGGATCCACGCCCAGGCGCTCGCCCAGTTCGAGGATGTACTGCATGCAGACGCACTGATGGGCCACATGAGCCACCTGCTCGTGCTTCTTCTCCAACTCCAGGTCGATGCACCAATTCGTCAGAAAGCAGCACGTCTCCTCGCAGACCAACTGCTGGTGCTCTTCAAGGAAGCGCCTGGAGTCCTCGTATTTGCGCAGCATTCCGTATTGTTTGCACAGCTCCTCGTTCTCCTTGACGAACTCCTGGAACTCCTCCAAGGAAAGCTCCTCGTCTGGCTTGCGACCGGCACTCTTATTGATCCCGATCTTTTTGTAGAGCGACTTGCAGATTTTGTCCACTTCCAATTCCTTTTTCTCCTTCAGCATCATGTCGTGTTCCAAGCGATCAAGTTCTTTGCCCTCCTTCTCGACTTTTTCCAGCTGCTTCTTGAGGGCGACTTTATCGCCATCTTTTGCGCTGATGCGCTCCTTGATATCCACGAGGCGAGCCTCGTGGATCTTTCGTTTCTCTTTAATGTCCTCCTCGCCCCTGACCAACACCTCCAGGCGCTCCACCCATGCCTGCTGATGCCAGAGGAACAGGGCCTCGCTATTCATTTTCGGCTCCTCGTCGTCCTCAGCATCCGAAATATCAAAGTCTTTCCACTTGCTGTAGTCCACCATTTTAATGCTTTTTTTCCACGTAAAAGTTCGAAAAATCTTTTTCTTATTCTGCCCACGTCAAAGCTAGCAATCGAAAAGAAAAGGTAAAATTTAGTGCAATTTTACGTAACAAGCATCGATTGTCTGATTATTGCCATTTTGTGGTGCGATAGCCCCTATCGGTCAGTATGGCAGCCCCATTGTGACCCCTATCGGCCCATACGGCATCCCTAGTGGATTTTACAGCCGCACTAAAAAAAAAAGTTTCGTGCGCGGCTGATCAGAGCCTCATAGCCCCATGTATTTTGGGGCCCTGAACAAGGATTCAAGGTCAGATTTGCACAATCACGTCGGGTTTATTTTCTAACCTCAAAAAAATTCCAAATTTATTTAAAAAATGCATCGAAATTGCTGGAAAATCGTCACTTGGCGGTTTTTATGGTCGCTGTTTATGAATTTGATGTCAGTTTTCGGTCAGTTTCGATTTGTATCCAGCTCTTTTCCCTGCAAAAGATCTATTTTAACGAGTAACATGTAGATGTAGATGTAGATGTAGATGTAGCAAGGTCGGAGAGTTAATTGAAGTTTGTAATTATTGACCCTGAAAACCCTGAAACGAGCTACAAGCAGATCCGATATATTTTTCAAATAAATTTGCACCATGTTTCAAACATAATGTTTTTTTTTAGGTTAGAAATGCGCCATATGGCAGCTCTAAAACCGAATATACGGCCACGCAGAAAAAAAACATATAAAGTATTTAACAAATTTTTTGATTTGGGAAGAACTGCTTTTATTTATTAGACATAGATATTGTTATTAAAAATTAATTATGGCTTAGAGACAACTATTTTAAATACAAATTCCATCAAAAAAACTCCTTTTTCGGAATATTAATAAATATATTACAAAATCCAAGAAAATTTCCACAAATTGGTAGTAAAAATCCCTACCAAAATTCCTCTTGAACCTAGTCCTACGACAACTTGTTAAATCTTTCTCTTGCCACGGTCTGGAAACCCTAACCTACCACAAAAGTTCAACAACTTGCCACATGGGGCGCTCGCTCTCTCCCTCAACTCAAGTCTCGCTCTCACTCTCTCTCTCTCCCTTGGCAACATGTTGCCAGTGGCCACTCTCTGCGCAGTCGCCCCAACAAGAACCCGAGGGCCTTCTGCTGGGGGGATCCACGAGGACTCTGGCCTTCGTCTGGACACTCGCACACGAGACTCGCCGAAGCACATCATCGGGGATCCGAGCTTCGTGGATGGCATGCCGCGCTTCGTTCTTCTGAAATTGCATTTAGTTGGTAAGAAGCATTCTGCGGCAACGGGCGGCAAAAGCGGAAAACCGAACGAAACGAATCCCGAACCGAACGAAGTGAAGACAAGAATTTTTAGCGTGGAAAACCCGTGTGAAAACCGAAACGTGTACGTGTGTGTTTGTGTGTGTGTGTGTGTGTGCAACGGCAGGCGCCGCAGTGGAAATTGCGGACAGGAAACCGCGTTTCGTTTACATGTGCGTTTGTAATTATGCAAATTGCTGGGTGGCACGGACTCAGACCTACAGCCAGAGCCACGGCCAGAGCCAGAGCCAGAGCCACAGCCTAGGCCTCTTTCGACAAATGGCACTCAAGTGCAACTGTTGCAGGGTCTCCCTCTCTCGTTCGCTGGGATATTTGTGACCTTGCCCTGCCCCCCCCCCCCCCCCCACACGTTTCTAACATCCTTCCACTCCAGGACGTACGCTATGCCGCATGCATATTCATGCCGCCGCCGCCGCCACCAACAAACACTGGCCATAGAAACTGGGGCAAACTCTCGCCTGCTGCAACACAAAGCCAAAGCCAACACACAGCTACAGTGACAAACAATTTCTGCTCAATTTAAAGCATCCCCAAACCCGAAAAGCCAGGACCCAAAAGCAAAATGCTGTGCTCCACTTACCTTCTCTATGGCTCCTCCATGGCACGGTGCCAGGAGGCGGAACCGGCACCTCTTCGCCTTTCCTGTCGCATTCGCTCATCTGTCAAATCCTTATAATTTCCTTACTTTTTTTGTTGCCTTTTCTTTTCTACGGTTTTGGTTCTGGTTCGGTGTATCTTTCTGCTGGTGTGTGTGTGTTGCTTTTCGCCAACTTGTTGTCCTTGCGCCCCGGCATCCAAGTCAGTGCCAAAGTCAGTGACAGAAAAAAAAAACCCCCAGAAAACCAGACCAAGGAGCCAACCTCTAGCCTCTCTAGGTTTTCTCCACCAGCAACAGTCGCAGGACTCGACTCTGCTCTGCGCAAATAAAATGCAAATAAATTATTTTTATTATTCCACTGTGACAGCTGATTTTCGGTCTTTCTTATGGGACCCACAGCACATTTCTTGGTGACTTTTCTTCGCTATATTGTGCTGTTGTTGCCTCAAGTTTGGGTGCGAAATTATTACGAGTTTTTAAGAGGTCAGAGTCCTTGTTGCGAATTAGATTATTCAATTTGTTAAATATGGTAGGTAGCATATTTCAATGGAAAGAGTTATGGCAGGGTTTGAATGTGGTTAAAGTGGGATCTCAGAGCAAAAGTTTGTGTTTTTAGTGAGTGTTTGAAACTGGAAAGTTAGTGAAATTAAAGTGTTTGACTGTCCTAAACTTTGACTGTAAATTTATTCAAATTTTGTTGAATATTGGGCATAAATTTGATGAACAGCTTCGTCTAGAAATCATTGAAGAGAGGGATTCTGAATCATCTCTTGGTACAAACCAAGGATTTTGGTGAACAGATTCATCTGGAAACGGACTCTGGAACAGTGAAGCATCTCTTAGGACAAATCGGGGATTTTTTTTGGCCTAAACAGTGCCCAGATTTGTGTTAAACTAAAGACCTATTACAATTCTATACTTAAACATGGTCTTTCAGGCCTCTAGGAAGGGCTTTCTTAGCTCCCTTTGAATTTTAGGCATAGCCTGGAGCTGTATTCTTGTTAGAACCTTATCTTAAAGCAGCAAATACATCGATTTTTATGGATGAATCCAATCTAGATCCACTCCAGAACTGTCCTTAAAAATAGATTAATTTCTAGTCCAACGCTAGGGAAAGGTCTTTGTTTCCATTGAGAAAGGTTACCAGATGCCTTCCAGTGTCTAGTTTTCAGTGAAAATGTTTAAACTACCTTAAATTCCACCAACTAAACCCATGAACTCGTTTCTTTTTCTCTGGAAAACAATTAATTTGTGAGTCTGGAAATAAATTCAACCGAAAAGGATTTTAAATTGCTTAGAAAACCCATCCATTCGCACACACAGAGCATAAGAGAGTATAAATAGCTTTACCCGTTCCATAAATAACTAATAAGCCTCCCAGAAATATACGATATTACCGAGCATTTAATTCCTGACCTCCAGAGGCGGCCAACGAGGCATAAGATTTCCATTAACAATTGGGGGCGTGGGGCGGGGGCTATGTTGTGTGTTGTTCGAGACAGTTTTAAATAAATAGCACACAACAATTGCCGGGGCTTGGTCTGCTCTCCGCTCGGCTCATTAACCATTCTGTAACCTGGCCAAAACCCCATCCTAGCACCTACGGGCGGGTCTAATAAGTTTGGGGCACGCAAAGAGCGACTGTTGGTGCGACTGACATGCAGACCGCTCATAAGTCCTTAGCCTCGTACTCGCAGTAGGACAGTGTAAACATGAATAAGACATTAGCCAGCAGTTTACATGTGTAGAAGGGAGGCAGGCAGGCAGGCCTCTCTGTCTCTGTGCGGCCCAATGTCCAATTCCATTTATAGGGGATCCATCTCTACATCTCTGACCTCTGACCGCACACACACACTCTGGATGGAGAGACACCATTGACTGGGGAAATTATTATTATTTAGGAAATATGTTAATTTAATGTCTGGGCGTTGCCTAACCTCATTCTTTGGGTGGGGACCAGGGACGGACTTCTTCAAATTGAAATGTCTGTGGCTTTAAATATTCATTGCCCACTTCTAGGCGCCTCCCTACTGCATTTTGCATGAGAACATTTCCGAATGAGAATTCTCTTCATCTTTTCTCTCTCTCTCTCTGTGTGTGTGTGCGTGCGTGTGTGTGTGTTGCATCATTGTGAAATGTCGCATTTAATTTAATTGAAAACATTTAATTACAGTTCTCGTTTTCGCCCACACAGCAAATGCCTTGGCCTTTGCCATTTCCAAGTGTTTAAAATATTTCGAAAAAATCATCTTTGGACGGGAGTTTTCGTATAACTATTGTATGGCATAAAATCCAGGAAAAATCAAGTAAATCAATGCCCAAGTGAGGCAATAATTAACTGTTTGATAGACATTTAAACACACAAAAAGCCTATGGAAAAGCCCTTAAAAATAACGAAAAAAAAACAAACTACAAATAAAAACCACATAAAATAACGAGTACAAATTACAACAACAAATTCCAAAGTATGTGGCATGTGGCAAGTAGCATTATAGCCATCAAAGTGGCATTGCCATTCCGACATTAAAATGCAATTTACGCGCTCGCGGCCAGTGATTGTCAAACTGTTACCGTCGGCATCTCGCTCGCTCCTTACGCCCGGCGTGCCCGTCTCTTTCGCACTCGAATGAAATGGATTAATATTTTTGTAAATATCAATCGTGCAGCAACAGCTGCGGCCACGCATTAAACAGACAACAAAGAGAAAAAAAACACAACAAAAAAACAAAAACAAAAAAAATCAACGAGTAAAAGGCCAGGAAAATCGAGCAAAAAGCACAGCAAACACGGGCAAACATGTCGACCATAAAGCTGCTCATTATCGGTAAGTTTTATCTCACAATTAAACAGAAAGAGAGAGAGCGGGAAAGCAACAAAAACAGAGCTGGGGGCATGCAACAACAGCAGGGGGGCGCATAGACTGTGTGGTGGCATCATCATCATCATCAGGCACACACAGCAGGCTGTTGCGGCGGCCAACGAGCCTGGGGTTTTTACTCTGAAACGCCTTTTCCTGGTTTTTTTTCCCCTCTCGATGGTCTTTTTTTGCTTTTGTTTTCGTTTGTTGTATCAATGGTCTTTATGGGAGATATATTGGAAAATTTAAAGAACAAAATGTGCCACCAAACAGAAATGTATTTTCCCGTCTAATCCTTTATATACTACTATATAAAATATATATAAATACGATACCTTTGACACAGTCGAATTTGAGTCCTTAAAATAAAGGAAAAAGGGGTTTGTAAAATATAGTAAAATTATGAAAAACAAATGGAACTTGTGGCTAGACGGTTTTCGTTTAATTAATTAAATATTTCAAAGGCTTCCCCACAGAACTTTCCCCGGCAAATCTGTTTGGCTTTAAGGAGCATCATTTGGTGGTTTTTTTAGGGTTTATTTCCATTAAGATATTTCTCACATATGATTTCCTTCTACTAAGGATTGTTCAAGGCCCCCTAGAACTGTAACTTTTAAGCCTGGACCTCCTTTATCGGCGGCCTGGACATCTTTTTATCAAAGTTCATCCAAAACTAAAGACATTTCAGGCCTAAGACAACGAATTGAGGCCTTTAAACGGGGTATAAATATTCTTAATGGTATTTTCTAGAAATATCGCTAATATAATACAAGTTCTACCAAACGATGGTCGTAATGGTGATGCAGCCATGTGAAGAGATCAGAAATAGCTTCTTTTCAGTTCGAATGCCTCGTTTAAAGCTCGTTTCCTAAATCATAGTCCACTTTCACTTCCAGTTGCCTGCTCTCGTATTCCTTATTTCCTTCCTCCCCATGGCTTCTGTTGCTCTCCTCTTTTTGTTCTTTTTAATAACGAGTACTTATCATATTAGCTTCCTTAATTGAAATCACCTGCCACGTATCCTCCACCTGCTGCCGAGGCATCTACCGATTGCATTATCTCCATAGCTGAATGATTTTTACTCCCACACTCTCTCTCTCTCTCTGGTTCTCTCTTTCGAGAAGATTGCATTCTCATTTGTTCGGTATCCGCCCCGTCCGCCTCCATCTCTCCCTCCTTTTGGCGTTTTTCATTTTTATGTGCGCTCTGGGAAATTTAACAATGCCACAAAAGGCGTTTACGTGGAACATTCACGGCGGGCGGGGAGGGTATGGGTATGCTGTGGTGTGCGGCGTGTGGGGGAGGGATTCCCGTGACCATAAACAAAAGACAAAGGCGTTTACCACCCACTCATCAACGAGCATCATGGACGCATCCTACGCCTGACAGCCATGGACTCATTCTGCTCCAGCATGCCCCTCCTCCAGACAGCGCGTGGACTCCACATCCTCCCCGCTCCGCTCCACATCCCCTTGCCTCTCCGGACCGCGCAAGTACTCCACATCCTCCCCTCGCCGGGGCAAGGACTCTTTCTCGTCTGACCAAAAGTTTACTTTTATTTTTTTTGTCGGTTAACAATTCATTTCCGCGCTTTGGGCTTCATAAATTGCTTTTATTAGAGGCAGGCGGCAGGCGCAACGAAAAGCATATAAAATACAGGCTAAAAACTGAAAGAAGGTCCTGCGTAGCCAGGAATAAAGCGAATGCTTATATGGGAAATAATAATATACTTCAAGTTTTTTGCATAACAAATAAAACGAATCAAATTATAAGGCAGGGCAGGGCAGAGATATCATCTCCCAGACCGTGCCCTCGAGGCAGTGACAAGTTGTGAAGCAGGTCCTGCGGCGACGGGGGTGCGGTCGGGGGTCGGGGGTCAGTTTTTGGACCACAAACAGAGAGAGAGAAAGAGAGACCTGAAAGTTGTTGACAGGCTGCCAGTTCTGGCATTGGCTGACGGCTCGGTCTGTCAGGGCACGCAGTCACGACAGGCAATAAAATTCAATATTTCATTAAAACGCACGTTACGCATACGCAGCGTGGCACGAGCCAAAAGAAAAAAACGAGTACTGCCCTGGCTAACGTTACGAAAAGAGGAAAGAAAATAATCGATTTCCAAGGGCCGAAGTTTGGGATACTCTCGAGGATCTAGGGATCTGCTGAAAATGGTTCTGAAAAATTAGGAAAAAAAACAAAAAATCCTTTAGAAAGAATGGACTTTCCAACGTCATAACTTTTGACCTACAAAACATTGATAAATTATTTCAATATGAGCCTGAAGGTCTTGTGGCTTGGGCTTAAATTATTAATTATAGTTTGGGATTCTGTAAATAAATAAATGCATATTATTGAGCCGAAGGCCTTCGGTTATTTAATTTTAATATTTTTTCCACATGTATTAAAGACCTTGAACCATGACTTTGCTTCTCAGAAAAGCTGGAATTTTTAAAGGTTTTTGTATGAAAAAAGGTTGCTATATTTGTGGTTTCTACTTATTGACTGACTGCAGCGAAAACAGGAGTTTGAGGACACTTTTAGCCATAATTATAGAGCTAAGTGATTATAAGGAGCTGTCTATATCAAGGCCTATATCAGATGTTCCCCCTCTAAGTCCTCTTCTGAGAGCAAGTTATCATTCTTAGGGAAGATCATGGCTTGTGGCACGATATCCCAATATACACCCTTCCTTCTTCCGTTGCTTCTGTAGCTCTGCTTCATGGTAGACCCCACAAGACCCTCCCTGATAGGGTACAAAGAGCAAACCGCAGACTGCGTGACGTTGTTGTTGCTTTTATCACACGCACAGCCCCGAACGTTCAAATCGGATTTCTCGTTATTAGCACTGACCTCCTTCCTCCCCCCACCCCTGTCCGTCCCCCGCTAGAACATGTGGCAGACAGAGCCGGACAGAGAGCAAATATCGTGGGAGGCTCTCCGGAATGAAAGTACTCGAATTTCACCGCCGCCTCCGCCTCTGAATCCGCCTCTGAATCCCGCCCCTGCCTCCCCCAAGCCCTTCATCAAATTGAGTCGTTTGGCTGTGTCGCACTAGATTTCTCACTGACATTCGTCGGGGTCCTTGGGCTGGGGCTTGGTCCTTATTTTCGGTTTCGGTGTTTGGCTGTTGCCTCCGTTCTGTTTTCTGTGCTGTGTGCTGTGTTTTGTTGTTGGTTAAGGCGGCTGCGACGCTGACAGATTATTTGCTTTATTATTCATAAGAACTACGAGTACTTGTGCCACCCCCACACTATGCTCCTGGGGGTCATGTGGTGCTTGTAATTCAGTGGGTAACAAAGGGTAGATTGTTACGATGCCAACACAATGCGGGAGTGCGAGTACGGCGTGCAATCTAATGGAATTGCTATGGAATTGGATTGGCTGTGTAGGATGATGATTTGTGTGTGCCGGTTGGGGGGTGGGTGGGGGGTGGGGTGTTGCCTGGAGATACAGATACGCCTGCCCTGTGGCTGGGCTAATTGAATCCCATAGTTTGCTGAATGTTGAATGCTGAATGATGGTGTTGCTGATGCGTTTCCCCTTTTCGTATTTCTAGGGAAAGAGCAGAGCAACGAGAGTGCTTTGTAGGTTCTATAAATTGTCATAAAAACTCTCTTTCTATTTTTATTCTTTTAAATTGTATCAAGTGCTGTTTTTCTCTTTAAAAAACCCCCCAGAAGTCCCCAAAAATCCCACAAAAATCCTCTAATCCCCAAAATGTAATTAACATAATCAAAGCCAGAGAGGGTGCCCCCTGCCAGGCCGCTAATGACCGCTAGAAGGTGGCACACATTTAAGCCACCGAAAATTGATGTTTTACAGGGTGTTTGTGGTGTCCAGAGGCTGCCAGAGGTACTGTAGGTCCTGTTAGGAGTCTTGATTATAATGTAGCTACTCATTTGGATTTATTAATTGCGTCCTGAGTCCTGCGTCCTGCTTACTGCTGCCATTGTGCGTAGAAAGTAAATTAATTAGCAAATACTTGCTTTAATAATCATTTTAATGGAATTTGTAATTTAATGCGCCTAACGAGAGAGAGTTTTATGTGGGAGAGATTACGAAAGTGACCCCCATACACCCCCATTTTATTGATTCTCTGTCCGCCCTCTCCCTCTCTCTGTCCCTCTCTCTCTCTATCTGTTCCACTCTTTGGGTGTATTTTACTGTCTGACAAGTCACCGCATGACCAGACCACAATTTGTTTAAGCGGCTTTAAATATTTCAACATGCCAACTTGGGCCAATTGAGGCCCTGGCCAACCGCCCCACCCCCCTGGGGGTCACTCAACTTTTTCCCGTGTTGTGCTCGTATTTGTGTGGACAGTCAATCACTTTAGAGAACTTTTTTTTATTGCCAGCGACATTAATTGATGGCAGGCAGTGCCACCATAAAAATAAACTCACCAAAATACGCCTCATAAAAAGCAACGAAAACCAATTGGAAATTGTTTTATTTTCATTACCTAAAAATAAGTATTTATTTTTTACGATTTGATATGCTAAATAGCCGAAAAGTTGGCCATAAATTCGTGTAAAGCATTCAATTATAAATGAGACGATAAGCGAGTGCCTCTGCCTCTGCCTCTCCTTTCCTCTCCTTTCCTCTTAGATTTTCCAGCACACAAAAGTTGCATAAATTTTCGCAAAAGCAAAGACTAAAGTGCAGAGTGAACTTTTCTGTTGATAAACGCTGGCATGCTGCTTAAAGACTTGTCATATCAGTGCACTCCTCCTGCCTCCTCCCGCCTCCTCCTCGCACTATAACCTTCTGTCTTTGCACACGTGTGTGGTGTGGTGTGGTGTGTGCACCCGTGTGTGCGTGTGTGTGTGTGTGTTATCTTTTAATTAAACATGAAAGTGAGTTGGCGAGCAAATTTGCTCAAACACACAGCAGACAAACAAACAAACCGCCTGCGGCTGAGCACCGGGCAAACACACACACACACACACACACCGAAAAAATAAGAAAAA